TTGGACGATATTGGGGATTTTAATTGGCTTATTAGTCCGGATAATTTCTAAATTTTCACAATTACTTAACGCTTCAAACTCTGAACTACAAATACAGTCATTAATCATAATTTCTTTTAATGTTTTTTTTGACTTTCTAGGACCGAATGATTCCAATTTATTCCGTAGAAAATGTCTTATCACCGATAAATTCAAACTATCTAAGTCGTTCTTGTGATTTAATAATGTATATATATATATGCATGAGATAGTCGAGGTTTGTCATTTTCACATCTAGTTCATGAAGTTGTGAAAGAAAGTGCTTATTTCGTCCTAATAAGTGAAAGATCTCGTGTTTAATTTCAACGCTTTCCTCAAAAAAATGCAACTGCAATTTAGATAAGGTGGCTCCACTCTCAATAAAGATTCTAACTCTGTCATATCTTCTCGACAACCAGGAAGTTGGAAATAAATACATTTTTTAGCATCATGAATTAAATCATTTAACATCAAGAAACTTTAAAAATCTTCCATATCGAAATAGAGTATTAGGATAATCATCCATTACTCTGTATTCTTTTAAAATAAATTTTTCGCTCTCATCAATGGATGAAAAATATATTGATATAAACATTGGAGCTCTAGGGCTGTAAATTGACTTTCAAAAGAATTTGAATTGCCATCATACACAAATAACGGTTCACAAGTATACATGAAAATAAGGTTTTAATTTCAATTTTATAATCGAAATTATTAAAAATTCTTGTCGTTAATTCGGGCATATAACCCCAAATATTTTTGACGCCATGAAAATGAATATTGTAAGTAGATTGAAATTGTTGAAAAAAAATCTGTGCCAAGTTTGTTGGTCATTGTGGCGCAGATCTCATGATCCACAAATCAGATTTCAAGGATCAGGTATAACGTAACACGATCAGAAAATTTCAAAACAAACGTTCATTTTGTTAAAAATCGCTTATTTTTCAAAAATCTGCATAAAAAACCACCCTTAGGGCTTTAACAAAAAGTTTTCCTTGAAAAATTTACTATATAACCACCTAATCTCTAACGTCAACCTTAACATTAATAAATTTTGCTGCGTCACAGTGATCGACAAAATCTGGCACGGATTTTTAATTTTTGTTTGCAATTTTTTTTTATATAATGCATAAAGGTGACACAGATCATGTGTCTATAAATTTGGTTATTTATTATTACGAGTTTTGTTTTTGGTAAACTAATAATATAGAACTCAAAAGGTGGTTTTATAAGCAAAATTTGAGTTATTAAAGAATTTTTTAAAAATAAAAGTTGGTTTAATTTTTATACTATATCGAATCTTGATATTATATCGCAGATCAATAATTTTATTAGTTAAAATCAATAGATATTAGCGCTACTGGTATGATTTAGTAAAATTGATTAAAAGAGTACAAAATATCAAAATATAAGTTTTGTAATATAAAAGTCTTGATTATATACAGTATATTTTATAGCTATTGTATATGTTTGTATTTTTTGTTTGGGTTATATTTAGTACATTTAGTATTTTACACTGCAGCTAGAATGTGTGTTATATATGGCTTGATTTAAGTGAGTCCTTGTAGCAAATTAAAAAAAAAGATTTATCAAAATAAATTTTTTAGTGCTTTATTTTTTATCAAATTGTTTTAGTTTTTATATTTGAATGCTGAAATGGGTTGGTTTAAAAAATCATGTAATCTTCCTACGAACGATTTACGGTCACTATTAGATGTTTCATTGATATTTGAATCAACATTCGGTTCTGAATTATTATTAGAAGTTTTGCCAAAAGTTTTATTATTGATAATATTATCTGGATTTGTAATCTCATCGTTGTCATTCGACTCAGGGTTATTTGCATTATCCGGACTAATAAGCCAATTAAAATCCCCAATATCGTCCAATAAAATCCTCAATTTGCTATCTGTCATTGAATTATTACTATTATTTACTTCAAAATTTGACTCATTAGAATTTTTATCAATCGACTCAGAAATATTATCAGAAACTTTCATTTCATTATAAATTTCATCTAAAGTATCGCAAATTGATTTTGTTTCTGGACGAACATTTGGATCGCTATCCCAACTTTTTTGATAAAGTTTAATGTATTTAACTGGTGTTCCATCTATTATATTTTCTCTTTTTCCACTTAAGATCTTTATGGGATCAATTATAGATGGTGGTTTTGCACTTGAAATTTCCCATAAAATTACACCTAAACTGAAAACATCTGATTTTTTATCACGTTTATATTTATATTCTGTGATAAAATACTGAGGTTCTTTGTATGCTGGCATTCCAAAATTATTTGAGCTTGAAGACGCTTCATTAATATGTTCTGATAGTCCAAAACCAGCAATCTTTAGTTGTCCTCCGTGAATTAAAATATTATTTGAATG